AGTTTACTTAGGGGCCCGGGGTTCGTTTAGATAGTACTTTCTTGAGTTTTCTTCGTTCGGAGTTTTTTATTTTTTGCTCCGGTTTTGGTAAAATTGATCTACGGAAAGAGTTTTTTCCTTTTGCGCTTTTAATGTACTGTACATCGTGCATATACACATATAAACTTTTCATCGTACCCTAAAAGCTTCTATAATAATAATATAATATTATTTGTATAAACTTTCATTTTTATAAAAGACTTCTATGCGAAACATATAGTAAAAAAAATACAAACTAATTTCTCCATCCTACACTACTATAATTGATCGTTATTTTACATTAACACTAATGACAATATCGATTATTAACTTTTTGTGTATGTAATGTTTAACATGATGCAAATACGTAATTTTGGTTTCTAGTTCCTATCATTCCGACCAATCTTTACGGACGATCATCCGATCCCAACCTGGTACACATTTTCTGGGTGCAAGAATATTATATAAAAATATATTAAGTGCCCATTGGCTCTTGTATTAGATAAAATTTTAAAATAAGATCAGTCACAAGACCGTTGATTGCGTCATTATTACGACACTTACACATTTGATTTTATCATAAATTCTTGAGGCCTTATCCGAATTAACAGGAGGAACCGTCGATGTTACGCGACTGATCCTTCACCCGGTGTGCAACATATAAAAAAAAATTTTACAATACCAGACCATTCCGCTAGTACATGTTATGATTATAATCCCACACCATGTTTATTATAATAAAATGGTGTGGGATTATAATCATAACATGTACTAGCGGAATGGTCTGGTATTGTAAAATATTTTTTTTATATGTTGCACACCGGGTGAAAGATAGTCGTGTAACATCGACGGTTCCTCCTGTTATCCTAATTATAATTGCTTAAATGGTATTTCCGCATGTCGTTCAAATGAGCATTTAAAATTTATAGTTCGGATCATGATCGCGTTATCACGTGTCTCACATTTTCTATCTTATAATCAATTGTTTAAACAATAGTTAAAGAAAGCGCAGAGCTATGACAGATAGTTTTAAGTTAGAATTTTTGATAAAAGCTAAGAAATAATTTAACCATTTATAAATAATATTTAATTTCTTTTACTTATTTTATTATATAATAGAAAAATACCAACAGTATTTAATTTGCATTAGAGGTATATCGACTGTAATATAACAGGAAATTTTCGCAGGTCAATATTTCCACTTCAAGTATTCCACGTTTTGATTGTGAAATGCTGCTTATCTGTAAGTAGAAATTTCCTTAAGTAAATCCGCATCTTTAGAACGGAAAGATTGCTACAATTACTACAATTACTAATTGTTTATTATTATCTACAAGTACAGTAAATCCTTACAATTTATTTTATCTCAAATCGGCAATTTCCAAATCAGTAAATTCCTTAAGGTAAGTCAAAATTTTTAAGTAACACACAATTCGAGATGATTTGATTTTCGTAAAAATTTTAAAATTAAAATTGTACACAGTCCTCAAATCTAAACAAGTGTTGTCATGTTAAATTAAAAGTCAGTACATCTGTATATATGATACTAATTATTTTTGTCATTTCTTTTTTTATTTAAGCCGATCTTTTGTGCATGAGCACCTAAAAGGTAATATGAATGAGGGAATAACGGAACAAGCGGAATTACTTTTAAAGATTATCAGTACAGCAATAGCAATCTTTGTTTCGGTTATGATATTGTATAATCTATGTATTCACATTGATTTGAAAGTATTTGCAATCATATAGGATTAGTAATAGTTTTATCCTGGGCAGTTGGGTATAGCGGAAATTTCATTTCCGCTTATACACATAGTGCCCAGTGTATAACTGATTTATACCCGCGATCTTGATATGGTGACCAGGGTATAAAAAAATTAATTACATCCAGTACTACTAAACCATATCCACTTAGATATAACATATCCATTTTGAAGAAATGACTATATCTAAATCCAGCGACCTATGGCTTTTCAACTAAGGAATTTCCGTATTAAATGAACGCCTGTGCAACAAATCGGTTATTGCGGCGTAAACATAATAAAGTTGAGGAAAAATCAAAACATTTGCGGGATTACTTCTTTAGGACTCATTAGCTACAATAATTTGAAATAGTCTTTTGAATAGTAATTTGTATAATAATTACTTGAAAACCTGTATGCTTTAGTCGTTCAGTTAAAGTCGTGGAAAAATATAGAAAAATTAATCATAAATTTGGTTTAGCGGTATGCTTTATTTAATCAAAAGATTTTGTTATGCCAATTGAAGTATATTAATTGTAACTGATTTAAAAATAAATTATTCCATTATTCCTCTATTAAAAAAAATTTAGAGTAGTATATTAAAAACATTATATAAAGTTAAATATTATATTTAATATATCTCCTTTTTTTTTTTTGATTCTTACCTTTTGATTTTATCTTTTGTTTTTTCCTGAAAAATCATGAATAAATTAATTAAAAACGAAGCAAATCCAGCTACTACATTTAAAAGTTTAATAATTATAGACGAAACATTGCCAACAATATCGAAAGCAATTATTACTGAAAAATTAAAATGTGATAAAATTGTTCCAAAAGATGCAGTCTTAAAAATTAAGTCCCCCAAAAAAATATTTAAAAATGAATCACCATCTACCATTAAAAATAAAAATAAATTAAAACTTCAGAAGCAAGAAGTTATGCGCGAATTACAAGAATCCACACCATTTCCCAAGCCTAGGCATAACAATTCATTACGGTCAAATTCATGCCCTGTTACATCTAAATCTAGGTCTATGTCAAAAAAACCGGTACGATCAAATTCAACGCCTAATGATGCATACGCACCAAAGCAGGCCGCATTTTCGATTCCTATGCTGCCTAATGATGCATACGCACCAAAGCAGGCCGCATTTTCGATTCCTATGCTGCCTAATGATGTATATGTGCAAAATCATGAAGAATCGCAGGACACATTTTGGATTCCTACGTTGCCTAATGATGCATACGCACAAATTCATGAAGAACCGTTGCCTAATCATGCATACACACAAATTCATGAAGAACCGTTGCCTAATGATGCATACACACAAATTCATGAAGAACCGTTGCCTAATGATGCATACACACAAATTCATGAAGAACCGTTGCCTAATGATGCATACGCACAAATTCATGAAGAACCTATCATAAACCAGGACGCACTTTGGATTCCTATGCTACCTAATGATGTATACGCGCAAAATCATGAAAAATCTATCGTAAAGCAGGACGAATTTTGTATTCCTATGCTACCTAATGATGTATACGCGCAAAATCATGAAGAATCTATCGTAAAGCAGGACGAACTTTGTATTCCTATGCTATTGGGAGGAAGCTTTAACAATGCAACTGGTATGCATTGGTTAGATAATGTAGTCTCTTTTATGTTACTAGTTGTTAAAATTACTAAAATTTTTGTTATATGTTTAAAATAACATATCTGCAACTACAGAAGAAAATTTTAATCAACAAATTGACACTGATTATCCATCTAATTCAAAGATTAATAGTTCATTATATGCATCCACCTCAGAATGCATGTCATTTTGTCGTGATGACAACACTGATGACTGGATGTATTAGCCTTCCTGCAGTTCAATCGGGCGTTTCAAATGGTAAGCGTAACAACAAATGTGGCCTATTAACTTATTAATTTAGGTGCGGAAATCCTACCTCACTAGTAGAGATGCAGACATTTTCAAGTTAAAGGTAGTTACCCTCCTGTGACATATAAAAATTGGGTAGCTACCCACTTATAGCTATGCCGTATGTTATTTCATGTTCTAATGTCTGCATCTTTAGTCATTAGTCACAGCTCAATTTATTGTAACTTTTATACTTATATCGCCACAACTAAGCCAATATATCAATGCATGATACTAATGAAATTTTTATGCAATATAAGGTTTATGAAAACGTCCTGGGTCTTAAATTTCTGACAATTCAAAATTTCGACTGTAATTTTTAGAAGATTATTAGTACCGTCAACATGTTTATATTCCAGTCATTTTGATGTTAAAAAAAAGGCTATTGTTAATAAAAAAAAAAAAGACTAGAATTCGTAAAAAACTAAATGAAAAAAATAAAATAAAATAAAAAAGATATTAAAAAAAAAAAAAAAACAAAATAGAAAATCAAAAAAAATTTAAAACATAAAAATTAAAAAAAAAGGCCAAGAAATGGAAAGAAATGGGAAAATGCAATATAATCAGTGCTCTGTATATTATAATGGTATTTAGTATGGTTTAATATAGGATGTAAAAATGTAGATTTATTGCGCGCGTTTTTTTTTTGATTTCTGTATATTTATTGTATTTTATTTTTCATTTCTTGTGTTTTTCTCCAGTAACGTTGTTTTTTTTTTATTTGCTCTGTAATTTATTGTTATTCTGATAATTTTTTCTTCATCCTTTTTTCGTTGTAAATTTAAACATCAGGACATGTAGCTTATATATTTTTTTTCAATTCTTTGTCTGAGTTCGTGTATACCAGGTTTAAAATAAACGATCTATTTGGAAACATCATTATTTTTATTACAATCTCTCGTTTTATTCTTGTAAGAAATCTATCAACGAATAATCATACAAAATCAGCGGAGTTAATAACCCGATAAGGTCACATTTAATTAAATCACAGTAGCATCAGTAAAATCAAAATGAATAATAGTAAAGACTGTGCATGCTATCACAAAATTTAAAACGCAATTTCATTAAAAGTTACTTAAAAGTATTTTCACGAGTTGCATGAAATTTGATTTTGTTATAAGGCTTTCGCGATGATCTTATACAAATCCTAAAATAGTTGCATATCAACATTTTTATTATACGTACAAATTTCCTAATTACATTGTGATAAACGTTATCATAATTACGCAATCTGAACTACATTACGCTAACAATATTTTTGTAAAAGATATTCCTCAGCCTTTAATAAAATTCCGTACATCTTATAATCATAAAGTAAGATTAAATACGTATTTATGAAATTGCTTAAGAAATCTTTTATTGCCTACGGAATTTACAAAATTCTAAAGAACTTTCTAATGATTTTATTGAGTTTCCCATATAAAGCATTGATAAACTCTTCAGAAAACAAGAAAGCATATGTTTAAAATAGTTCTTTATTGATATAAGTTAGATATATACGAACTGTACGTACTTACTATCGGAAATTTAAATGAACAATTCAACTTATTATACTCTTGCAAAACCATATAATTATTCCTCTATGTAAAAAGTTTTAAAGTAGTATATTAAAACGATTATATAAAAGTTAATAGAATAACTATATTTAATCTATCTACTTTTTTTTTTATTAATTCCTTTTGATTTTATCTTTTGTTTTTTCTGAAAAATAATGGAAAATGAAGCAAATAAAGCTA